TGTAAATCAACTGTATTTCAATTTTTCTAAAAACCTATTCTAATGAGGAAATGTAAGAATGTAACATCAGTCCCCTTCAAATAAAAAACAAGATAAGGATGCCCAATCTTACCACTTCTGTTTAAATCCCATTGGCAAATACAACAAGACAAGAAAAATAAATTAGAGTCATAAAGATCAGAAATAAAAAAAAAACTATCATTAATAACATACAATATAATTGTCCCAAAAGTATCTACACACAAAATATTAAAAATTAATAGAAACATTGGCAAGGTAACCAAATATAAGATCAATATTTGAAAATCTAGGGACTTCCCTGGCCGACCAGTGTTAAGACTCCGCACTGCTGAAACCCATAGAATGTACAACACCAAATGAACCCTAATGTAAATTGTGGACTCTGGGTGATACTGATGTGTCAATGTAGATTCATTAATTGTAACAAAAGTACCCTCTGCTGAGGATGCTGTTACTGGGGGAGGCCGTGCATGTGTGGGGTCAGGGGGTATACGGGAAACCTCCGTACCTCCTGCTCGATTTTGCTGTGGACCTAAAACTGCTCTTAAAAATAAGATCTATTTTAAATTGTGCAAAGAAAAAGCCAGAAAAAAATCATTTCAAAATATATGCATCTGTGTTGTGAAAAAGGTCTAAAAGATATAAACAAAATCAGAAACAGTGGTTACCTCTAGGGCCACATTTCTCAAACTCTAACATGTATACAAATTACCTGAGGACATTGTTAAAAGTGTTAATATTCGTAGTCTGATTTAGTAGGTCTGGAGTGGGGCCCAAGATTTTGCATCTCTCACAAGCTCCCACACGGTGATAACTGGAACCAGCTCATTCTGGCTTGCAAGAGCTGATTGTTGTATTTTTAAGAATTTTGTAAATCAGTTATTAAGTAGTCATTATTAAAAATTTAAGGGACTTGCCTGGCAGTCCAGTGGTTAAGACTTCGCCTTCCAATGCAGTGGGTGCAGGTTCGATTTCTGGCTGGGGAGCTAAGATCCCACATGTCTTGCAGCCAAAAAAACAAAATATAAAACAGAAGTAATATGGTAACAAATTCAATAAAGACTTTAAAAATAGTCCACATCAAAAATAATCTTAAAATATAAAATAAAATAAATTTTAAAAAATAAAAATTTAATTATATAAACTTATAATTAAATAAATTGTATTTAAAACAGAGATAACAAATACTGGAAACTCATCATTTCCTAATTATTATACATTTTACCATTATCTATACTCTTGAGGTTATACGTACATATATATCAGTACAGTGGCAATTCTATCCAATGGTGTGGTACTACACGACTCTTTCCAATTTTGCATTCAGTGACATTGAAACCACACCCCATAGGTTAATAGAAGCTGGTGACTAACAGAAATTCCTGAGCTTGTTTTACAGAACAGCAGGTAAGGGAACAGCATGTTAAAACCCCTCTGCTTGAAACCTGACTTTACTGATTAAGCTCTCTTTAGTTATGGTTTTTACTTTCTTTAACTGCCTACCCTCCAAGCTTCATATACCTTAGAAATATATTGCAAGACTCCTTAACCACCCCTGCAGACAGTAGTACCTCTGACGTATGGGTTGCCATAGTAATGGAGGCTTAAGCTGTTTTCCAGAAACTTGGAGTCAGCTCGTGTCCAGTTTGAGATGGCTAAGACTGGTTGGGACCACTGATCCTAAACCTGGGCCTGCACAAATGTCCAATGAACGACCTTTTGACGTCAGAGGGCCCAAAACTCCACCCTCAGATCATGCTGAGTGCCTCCAGTTTTTGAATACGCGTCCCATGAAGAAGCATAACGCAGATACGCCTGCGCAGAACACCAATTACCTCACCTTTTCTCTACCTCCCATCACCTTTTTCCACGTGTAAGAATCCCTGCTTCTTTATGCCATAAATACCCCAAGCTCCTTGCCTTCAAGGAGGCAGATCTGAGACTTTTTCTCCGGTCTCCTCACTTGGCTGCCTTGAGAATAAACTCTTTCTCTGCTGCAAACCTTGGTGTCTCGGCGTTTGGCTTGCTGAGAGTCAGGTAAACAAACCTGGTTCAGTTACATCACATCAGTAGCATGAAAATGTAGCCATAGTGGAGGCTGCAGAAAGCCGGCTATTAATCATTTATCAGGCACACCACTGCTCTGGGATACAGAGTGCTCGTCTAGGGCATGGGATCAGAATGGGGGAAAGTTTTAAGAGTGAGAGAAGGAAGAACTGCCAAACACGAACGCTATAAACATTGAATAGAAATTTTGCCCCATTAAGGTTTTCTGAATTTCTAACTTGTTAGTGGCAGGTAGCACTTAATAAATGTTCACCAGCTCTATGGACGAATGAATGCTGTAAAGAAGAACCAAGAAGTTTCCACTTGAAAACACAGGATGACCCGCTTCACTTCCCACAGGAGCTGGGGTAAAAGAATCGGGTGTGTGCTCCTGGGGGCCCTGGCAGGGGAGGCCCAGGGCTGGTCCTCTCCCTCACTCCCACCTCAACATTTCCTGTAGGATTTTGGTTCCCGTATCTGGGAGCCAGTATTTATTTAACTCCTCCCCTGGAGTTCAGCAAGAACTATTCAGCAAGAAAAGCCCAAGGCTGCCCAGACTACTGGCCAAGTAAACAAACGGCCAGGACTGGAAGGGGACAACCGGCACCCAGCAGACTCCGGGACCCAGCACCAACCACAGTCTGGGAAAGGCTCCACCCACACCCACACCCCCTCCAGCTCTGTTCTGCACTCTCTTAGAGCCATCCATCAGCTCTAACTCCCTACTCCCCATCCAGGGAGCATCAGCTGAGCCTTACCTGGGTGCTGGCATCATTGTACATGATGGAGACCCAGAGTGTGGGACAATCTACTCCAAGAGCTTATACTTGGTGAGGGAGGAAGTTGATGAACAAGTGTTCGTATCACCCTAACATTCATATGGTGAAACCCTAATTACCCCCAAGTGATGGTGTTTGGAGGTGGGGCCTTTGAGACATAATTAGGGCTAGAATAGGTCAAGGGTGGGGCCCTCACGATGGGATTGGTGCCCTTATAAGAAGAGGAGGAGACCCAAGATCTCTCTGCCTGCCTGCACCCAGGAAGGCCATGTGAGGGTCCAAGGAGAAGGCAGACCAGGAAGAGAGCCCTCCCCAAGAGCTGAATCTGCACCTTGATCTTGGACTTCCAGTCTCCAGAACCGTGAGAAATAAATGTCTGTTGTTTAAGCCATGCAGTCCATGGTCATTTGTTATGGCAGCCCAAGCTGACTAAGATACGAGGAAACCGGGCTTCCCTGGTGGCGCAGTGGTTGGGAGTCCGCCTGCCGATGCAGGGGACATGGGTTCATGCCCCGGTCGGGGAAGATCCCACATGCCACGGAGCAGCTGGGCCCGTGAGCCATGGCCGCTGAGCCTGCGCGTCCGAAGCCTGTGCTCCGCAACGGGAGAGGCCACAGCAGTGAGAGGCCCGCGTACCACAAAAAAAAAGATACGAGGAAACCAATGTAAGTCAGATGGTGACAGTGCTAGGGAGAGGATGTAGGGTAATGGGAGTAAGTGATGGGGGCGAGTGGTATTTATGGAGGGTAGTCAGGAGGGCCTCTCTGAGGAGGTGACATAGGAGCAGAGGCCTGTATGAGGGCTGAGTCTTTGAATACCTAGGGAAGAATATTCAAGGCAAAGAGAGCTGCACAGAAATACCTGAGTGGGTGCACACCTGCTGGGCTCAAGGCAGCTCCAAATGAAGGGAACAGAGAAGCATGATTGGAGCTGAGGCCAGTATGGCCAGGGGACCCATCATGAAGGGTTTTATGGGCTGGTGAAAGGAAGTTAGCATTTACTCTGGGAGAGATGAGGCGCCACTGGAAAGTTTTGAGCAGGGAAGGGACATGATCTGATTCATGTTCTAAGAGGATCATTCTGCAGGCTCTGTTGAGAACAGACAGTGGGCGAGGTGGTGAGGGAAGAAGCATGGAAACCAGGTAGGGAGCTGACGCAAAAGTTCAGGCAAGGGCTTCCCTGGTGGTGCAGTGGTTAAGGATCCGCCTGCCAATGCAAGGCACACGGGTTTGAGCCCTGGTCCGGGAAGATCTCACATGCCACAGAGCAACTAAGCCCATGCACCACAACTACTGAGCCTGCACTCTAGAGCCCGCAAGCCACAACTACTGAAGCCTGCGTGCCACAACTACTGAAGCCCGTGCACCTAGAGCCGTGCTCCACAACAAGAGAAGCCACCACAATGAGAAGCCCGCACACTGCAACAAAGAGTAGCCCCTACTCGCCGCAACTAGAGAAAGCCCGTGCAGCAATGAAGACCCAACGCAGCCAAAAATAAATTAATTAATTAACAACAACAACAAAAAAAGGTCAGGCAAGTGGTGGTGGTGGTGGCTCAGACCAGGATAGTGGCAGTGGAATCAGGGTCCTGGTTCTATTTATTTATTATTTTATTTATTTATTTATTTATTTTTGGCCACACTGCATGGCTTGCAGGATCTTAGTTCCCCAACCAGGGATCGATTGAACCTGTGCCCCCTGCAGTGGAGGCACAGAGTCCTAACCACTGGACAGCCAGGAAATTCCCCCGGTTCTATTTTGAAGGCAGATCTGACCAGACGTGCTGATGAAGTCTTTATGGGGCATGAGAGAAAGAAAGGGTCAAGGATGACCTGAGGTTTGTGATCTCAGTGGCTTGAGTCTGTATGACATCATGCCATGAAGACAGGACACTGTCTTATTCTTCCTGACTGTATTCCTCAGGAGAGATAGAGGGCACAGTGCCCGGCCAATGATCAGAGAGAGGGGAAGGAATCCAGGAAGAGAGGGGAGGCCTGGGGGGATGGGCAGGTGAAGGAAAGGGTACTCACACCATTGATATCCACAAAGTCCTGCCTCCCCAGAAAGTCTTCCTAGAATGACCCAAAGAGCACTGGCGGCTGGCCCGGCCCTTCCCAGGGGTTATTCTCACACCCATCTGCGTCCCAACCCCAGCTCTCATCCTTGCACCAAAGCAGTGTGCTAGCCTGTTTGAGAACTGGTTTTACCGCTTTTACTTCACCACTGGGTTGATCCTCACAGGGTTAGGCTATAGCTTTGACCACTGTAACAGACAACGAAAAGGATAGAAAGCCTTTCTCCCTCGGCTCCTACTCAGTAGGTAAGTCATCCAGGCTACAGAGACCCGGCACCATCTATTTCTGCTCTGCCATCCCCCCGCCCGGGGACCTGGCCATATCTCATGGTCTCAGACAGCTTCTCACCACATCCGTGCCCTGGAAAGCCAGGGGGGGGAAGGAAGGAGTGGGCAGGGTTGTGGCAAAGACAGCCCTGCCCTTTAAGGATATGCTTTTATCCCACTGGCCAGAACTGGACTGTATGACCCAAGGAGGCCGGGAAACAGAGACTGGATTCTGGGACCTCATGTCCCCATCTGGATCCACCGGCTGTGGAAGGAAGGAAGGAGAATGTGGGCAGGTGGCAGCTCTGCCTGTGGGTCCCCAAAGCAGTTGAAGGTCAATGCCTTGAAGCTCAATTCCTACTCCTTGTGTGAGCCGCTAGGGATAGGATCCAACTCAACCCCTTTCATTTTTCGTACAGAATTTTTCACCATACGAGGCATGTTCACCCATGAAATTGTACTTGATCTTCACCACACCTTGTTAGGGAGGTAGTTTTATCAGACTTTACCCACAAGAGAACCAGGGCTTAGAGAGGTGGGAGGGTTTGCACAGGGTCGCAGGCTGGTGGACCTCTGAGGTTTGAACTCTGACCTTCTCTCCAGATTCCTTGCCCTCACTCCTCACTAACAGGTCATTTAATGGATTCTTATTTTGATGTGGGGCACAGGTGACCCCCACTACCAACACCACCACTACAGTCTTTCAGGAAAGACAGCTGCTAAGAGACAGATGCAACTTGCTAGAACCCAGGCAATGCCATCAAGCTTGTGGAAGAAGAGGCTCTGCTCCCCTTGCACATCAGTGTGTGTGACGTGGACGCAGAGGACACAGAATCAAGCCGTCAGTACACATCAGCTGACAACCCCAGGGCAGGCGGCCTCCTCGCCTACAGCATCCTCTGGGATTATGGGTTGGTGTCTGTGCCGCCGGTTGTGAAAATAGGTTTATTATCACCTGTCATGAGTCCCAGAGTGGCAGTCCAGTGGTTAGGACTGCACTGGCAGTCCAGTGGTTAGGACTCCATGCTTCCACTGCAGGGGGCGTGGGCTCGATTCCTGGTTAGAGAACTATGATCCCACGTGCTGTGTGGAGCAGCAAGAAAGGAAGGAAGGGAGGAAGGAAAGAAGGAAGGAGAGGAGGGAAGGAGGGAGGGAGGGAGGGAGGGAGGAAGGAAGGAAGGAAGGAAGGAGAGGAGGGAGGGAGGGGGAAGGAAGGAAGTAAGGATGGGAGGGAGGAGGAAAGAAGGGAGGAAGGAAGGAAGGAAAGAAAGAAGGAAGAAGAGGAGGGAGGGAGGGAGAGAGGAAGGAAGGAAGGAAGGAAGGAAGGAAGAACATTCACAGAAAGATAGACAAAATGAAAAGGCAGAGAGGGGCTTCCCTGGTGGCACAGTGGTTGAGAGTCCGCCTGCCGATGCAGGGGACACAGGTTCATGCCCCGGTCCGGGAAGATCCCACATGCCGCGGAGCAGCTGGGCCCGTGAACCATGGCCGCTGAGCCTGCGTATCCGGAGCCTGTGCTCCGCAATGGGAGAGGCCACAACAGTGAGAGGCCCGCGTACGGAAAAAAAAAAAAAAAAGGCAGAGGACTTTGTACCAGATGAAGGAACAAGATAAAACCCCAGAAAAACAACTAAATGAAGTGGAGATGGGGAACCTTCCAGAAAAAGAATTCAGAATAATGATAGTGAACATGATCCAGGACCTCGGAAAAAGAATGGAGGCAAAGATTGAGAAGATGCAAGAAATGTTTAACAAAGACCTAGAAGAATTAAAGAACAAACACCTAGAAGAAATAAAGAACGAACAAACAGAGATGAACAATACCATAACTGAAATGAAAAATACACTAGAAGGAATCAATAGCAGAATAACTGAGGCAGAAGAACAGATAAGTGACCTGGAAGACAGAATGGTGGAACTCACTCCCATGGAACAGAATAAAGAAAAAAGAATGAAAAGAAATGAAGACAGCCTAAGAGACCTCTGGGACAACATTAAATACATCAACATTCACCTTATAGGGGTCCCAGAAGAAGACAGAGAGAAAGGACCCGAGAAAATATCTGCAGAGATTAGTCGAAAACTTCCCTAACATGAAAAAGGAAATAGCCACCCAAGTCCAGGAAGCGCAGAGAGTCCCAGGCAGGATAAACCCAAGGAAAAACACACTGAGACACATAGTAATCAAACTGACAAAAATTAAAGACAAAGAAAAATTACTGAAAGCAACAAGGGAAAAACAACAAATAACATACAAGGGAAGTCCCATAAGGTTAACAGCTCATTTCTCAGCAGAAACTCCACAAGCCAGAAGGGAGTGACATGATATATTTAAACTGATGAAAGGGAAGAACCTACAACCAAGATTACTCTACTGGGCAAGGATCTTATTGAGGTTCAACGGAGAAATCAAAAGCTTTACAGACAAGCAAAAGCTAAGAGAATTCAGCACCAACAAACCAGCTCTACAGCAAATGCCAAAGGAACTTCTCTAAGTGGGAAACACAAGAGAACAGTAACAATTAAGAAAATGGGAGGGAGACGCAAGCGGGAAGAGATATGGGAACATATGTATATATATAACTGATTCATTTTGTTGTGAAGCTGAAACTAACATACCATTGTAAAGCAATTATACTCCAATAAAGATGTTAAAAAAAAAAAAAAAAAAGAAAAGAAAATGGTAATAGGAACATACATATCGATAATTACCTTAAACGTGAATGGATTAAATGCTCCAACCAAAAGACAACTTTTGTATCACTGAATGGATACAAAAACAAGACCCATATATATGCTGCCTACAAGAGACCCACTTCAGACCTAGAGACACATACAGACTGAAAGTGAGGGAATGGAAAAAAATATTCCATGCAAATAGAAATCAAAAGAAAGCTGGAATAGCAATACTCATATCAAATAACATAGACTTTAAAATAAAGAATGTTACAAGAAACAAGGAAGGACACTACATAATGATCAAGGGATCAATCCAAGAAGAAGATATAACAATTATAAAGATATATACACTCAACATAGGAGCCCCTCACTATGTAAGGCAAATGCTGACAGCTATAAAAGAAGAAATCGACAGTAACACAATAATAGTGGGGGAATTTAACAACTCACTTACACCATTGGACAGATCATCAAGACAGAAAATTAATAAGAAAACACAAGCTTTAAATGACATAATAGACCAGATAGATTTCATTGATATTTATAGGACATTCCATCCAAAAACAACAGATCACACTTTCTTCTCAAGTGCACATAGAACATTCTCCAGAACTGATCACATCTTGGGTCCCAAATCAAGCCTCGGTAAATTTAAGAAAACTGAAATCATATCAAGTTTCTTTTCCAATCACAACGCTATGAGATTAGAAATCAATTACAGGGAAAAAAACGTAAAAAACACAAACACATGGAGGCTAAACAATACATTACTAAATAACCAAGAGATCAAAGAGGAAATTAAAAAATACCTAGAGACAAATGACAATGAAAACACAAAGATCCAAAACCTATGGGAGGCAGCAAAAGCAGTTCTAAGAGGGAAGTTTATAGCAATACAAGCCTACCTCAAGAAACAAGAAAATCTCAAATAAACAACCTAACCTTACACCTAAAGCAATTAGAGAAAGAAGAACAAACAAAACCTAAAATTAGTAGAAGGAAAGAAATCATAAAGATCAGAGCAGAAACAACTGAAATAGAAACAAAGAAAATAGTAGCAAAGCTCAATAAAACTAAAAGCTGGTTCTTTGAGAAGATAAACAAAATTGATAAACCTTTAGCCAGACTCATCAAGAAAAAGAGGGAGCGGACTCATATCAATAAAATTAGAGATGAAAAAGGAGAAGTTACAATGGACACAGCAGAAATACAAAGCACCCTAAGAGACTACTAGAAGCAACTCTATGCCAATAAAATCGACAACCTGGAAGAAATGGACAAATTCTTAGAAAGGTATAACCTTCCAAGACTGAACGAGGAAGAAATAGAAAATATGAACAGACCAATCACAAGTAATGAAATTGAAACTGTGATTAAAAATCTTCCAGTAAACAAAAGTCCAGGACCAGATGGCTTCACAGGTGAATTCTATCAAACATTTAGAGAAGAGCTAACACCCATCCTTCTCAAACTCTTCCAAAAAATTGCAGAGGAAAAAACACTCCCAAACTCATTCTATGAGGCCACCATCACCCTGATACCAAAACCAGAGAAAGATACTACAAAAAAAGAAAATTACAGACCAATATCACTGATGAATATAGATGCAAAAACACTAGCAAACAGAATCCAACAACACATTAAAAGGATCATACACAATGATCAAGTGGGATTTATCCCAGGGATGCAAGGATTCTTCAATATACGCAAATCAATCAATGTGATATACCATATTAAAAAATTGAAGAATAAAAACCATATGATCATCTCAATAGATGCAGAAAAAGCTTTTGACAAAGTTCAACACCGATTTATGATAAACACTCTCCAGAAAGTAGGCATAGAGGGAAACTACCTCAACATAATAAAGGCCATATATGACAAACCCACAGCAAACATCATTCTCAATGGTGAAAAACTGAAAGCTTTTCCTCTAAGATCAGGAACAAGATAAGGATGTCCACTCTCACCACTATTATTCAACATAGTTTTGGAAGTCCTAGCTACGGCAATCAGAGAAGAAAAAGAAATAAAAGGAATCCAAATTGGAAAAGAAGAAGTAAAACTGTCACTGTTTGCAGATGACATGATACTATACATAGAGAATCCTAAAGATGCCACCAGAAAACTGCTAGAGCTAATCAATGAATTTGGTAAAGTTGCAGGATACAAAATTAATGCACAGAAATCTCTTGCATTCCTATACACTAATGATGAAAAATCAGAAAGAGAAATTAAGGAAACAATCCCATTTACCATTGCAACAAAAAGAATAAAATACCTAGGATTAAACCTACATAGGGAAACAAAAGACCTGTATGCCAAAAACTATAAGACACTGATGAAAGAAATTAAAGATGATACAAACAGATGGGGAGATATACCATGTTCTTGGACTGGAAGAATCAATATTGTGAAAATGACTGTACTACCCAAAGCAATCTACAGATTCAGTGCAATCCCTATCAAATTACCAGTGGCATTTTTTACAGAACTAGAACAAAAAAATTTTAAATTTGTATGGCAACATAAAAGACCCTGAATAGCTAAAGCAGTCTTGAGGGAAAAAAACGGAGCTGGAGAAATCAGACTCCCTGACTTTAGACTATACTACAAAGCTACAGTAATCAAGACAATATGGTACTGGCACAAAACCAGAAATATAGGTCAATGGAACAGGATAGAAAACCCAGAGATAAACTCACGCACCTAGGGTCAACTAATCTATGACAAAGGAGGCAAGGATATACAATGGAGAAAAGACAGTCTCTTCAATAAGTGGTGCTGGGAAAACGGGACAGCTACATGTAAAAAATGAAATTAGAAAAAAAAAAATGAAATTAGAATACTCCCTAACACCATACACAAAAATAAACTCAAAGTGGATTAGAGACCTAGATGTAAGACCAGACACTATAAAAGTCTTAGAGGTAAACATAGGAAGAACACTCTTTGACATAAATGACAGCAAGATCTTTTTTGATCCACCTCCTAGAGTAACGGAAATAAAAACAAAAATAAACAAATGGGACCCAATGACTTAAAAGCTTTTGCAAAGCAAAGGAAACTACAAACAAGACGAAAAGACAACCCTCAGAATGGGAGAAAATATTTGCAAACGAATCAACAGACAAGGGATTAATCTCCAAAATAAATAAACAGCTCATGCAGCTCAATATTAAAAAAACAAACAACCCAATCCAAAAATGGGCAGAAGACCTAAATAGACATTTCTCCAAAGAAGACATACAGATGGCCAAGAGGCACATGAAAAGCTGCTCAACATCACTAAGTATTAGAGAAATGAAAATCAAAACTACGATGAGGTATCACCTCACACCAGTTAGAATGGGCATCATCAGAAAATCTACAACCAACAAATGCTGGAGAGGGTGTGGAGGAAAAGGAACCCTCTTGCACTGTTGGTGGGAATGTAAATTGATACAGCCACTATGGAGAACAGTATGGAGGTTCCTTAAAAAACTAAAAGTAGAATTACCATATGACCCAGCAGTCCCACTACAGGGCATATATCCTGAGAAAACCATAATTCAAAAAGAGTCATATACCACAATGTTCATTGCAGCTCTATTTACAATAGCCAGGACATGGAAGCAACCTAAGTGTCCATCAACAGATGAATGGATAGAGAAGATGTGGCACATGTATACAATGGAATATTGCTCAGCCAAAAAATAAATGAAATTGAGTTATTTGTGGTGAGGTGGATGGACCTAGAGTCTGTCCTACAGAGTGAAGTAAGTCAGAAAGAGAAAAACAAATACCATATGCTAACACATATATATGGAATCTAAAAAAAAAAGGTTCTGAAGAACCTAGGGGCAGCACAGGAATAAAGATGCAGACGTAGAGAATGGACTTGAGAACACAGGGAGGGGGAAGGGTAAGCTGTGACGAAGTGAGAGAGTGGCACTGACATATATACACTACCAAATGTAAAATCGATAGCTAGTGGGAAGCAGCCGCATAGCACAGGGAGATCAGCTCGGTGCTTTGTGACCACCTAGAGGGGTAGGATAGGGAGGGTGGGAGGGAGACGCAAGAGGGAGGAGATATGGGGATATATGTATACGTATAGCTGATTCACTTTGTTATAAAGCAGAAACTAACACACCATTGTAAAGCAATTATACTCCAATAAAGATATTAAAAAACAACAACAAAAAGAGTCATGTACCACAATGTTCACTGCAGCTCTCTTTACAGTAGCCAGGACATGGAAGCAACCTAAGTGTCCATCGACAGAAGAATGGATAAAGAAGATGTGGCACATATATACAATGGAATATTACTCAGCCATAAAAAGGAATGAAATTGGGTCACTTGTAGAGACATGGATGGATCTAGAGACTGTCATACGGAGTGAATTAAGTCAGAAAGAGAAAAACAAATATCGTATATTAATGCATATATGTGGAACCTAGAAAAATGGTACAGAGGAACTGGTTTGCAGGGCAGAAATAGAGGCAGACATGTAGAGAACAAATGTATGGACACCAAGGGGGGAAAGCGGCAGGGGGGTGGGGGTGGTGGGATGAACTGGGAGATTGGGATTGACATGTATACAGTAATATGTATAAAACAGATAACTAATAAGAACCTGCTGTTTAAATAAATTAATTAAATAAAATTCAAAAAAATAAAAGAAGGAAGGAGAAGAGGGAGGGAGGGAGGGAGGAAGGAAGGAAGGAAGGGAGGGAGGAAGGAAGGAAGGAAGGATGGGAGGGAGGAAGGAAAGGAGAGGAGGGAGGGAGGGAGGGAGGGAGGAAGGAAGGAAGGAAGGAAGGAAGGGAGGGAGAGAGGGAGGAAGGAAGGAAGGGAGGGAGGGAGCGAGGGAGGGAGGAAGGAAAGAAGGAAGGATAGGAGGGAGGAAGGAAAGGAGGAGAGAAGGGAGGGAGGGAGAGAGGAAGGCACCATGAGAGGGGACAGCAGGCCTCCCCCCGGGCTCCTCAGGGACACCACCTGAGCCCTTGACATTTGCCCCCCAGCATCCTTCCTCCCATACCCACAGTCTGTCTGTCGCAATTTCCACTCCTGAAGCTATAACCCCCCACCCTGCAGACCTAGCCCACTCCTACAGTGCTGGGCAGGCTTGCAAGGACTGGCAGAAATCACAAAGCCTTAGAAAATCAGAGCAGAATGGGCATTAGAGACCTCCAACACCACGGCCAGAGTGGTACCACATGGTACCTGATGAGCACACATTATGTGCGGGCACTGCCTGAGGTTCTCTGCATCTTGCTTTACCTAATTCAGAAGGGACTACCTGGCTTTGATCCCAACTCTGCCACCTAGACCTGTGTGACCTCAGACAAATTAGGCAACCTCTCTGTGCCGCCATTCCCTCATCAGCAAAATATAGAGGATAATGAGACTCTGCCCCAAAGAGTTGTTGTGATGATGGAATGAGTTAGTACAGTTGATTCTTGTCGTTCTAGGTAGTGATGTCCTATGAGGTCACTGTGGACACTGAATTAGAGAATATTGAACCAGTGTTCCCGGGGGTGGGTGGGGGGAATCAGGGAGGGCAAGGTTCCCGTGAGCGGTCACATTTTCATCGTCCAGTCAATATGTTAGCTTGTTTTATGTGTGTTTCTGCTTAAAGACACTTTTTTTTTTTTGGCCTCGCCACACGTCTTGCGAGATCCTAGTTCCCCGACCAGGGATCGAACCCGTGCCCCCTGCAGTGGAAGCTTGGAGTCCCAACCACTGGACCACCAGGTAATTCCCTAAAGACACTTTATTTAATATAAATTGTTGCTTCGTTAACACTGACCTCACGGCCAACAGCACTACAGCTCAGGCCTGAACAAAGTTGGTGTAACACAGGTACTTTCTCCACAAGGCACGTCCCAGGCTTCTTGTGCGTGGGAACCTTAGCACTTCAGCGCTGTGCTTGGGGGGCATTTTAAACAGCGAAATCACCAACAGAAAACACAAACGTGAGAAAAACGTGGCACCAAATAGACTGTGAACAGGAGAGACTGAGCTGAAGCAAGATGGCTGAGCTACTCCCTGTTCAGCTGGGAACATGAGTGTCCAGCAACTGACAGTTGTCACTGCTCTGCACACACTCTCCAAAGACTGCAGAGTACTCTGAGTAATGATTCGGGGGATTGCAAATAAATTTAGGATACCTGCTGAGCTGGATATTGCTATTCCCACTTAATAGACAAGGAGAGGTTGAGGACCCAGACCAGGTCACAAAGTGGGTCAATGGTGGTGTCAGGACTTGAGCCCACGTGTGGGCCTGGCTTAACCCTTTCCTACGCTGCCCAGAACAGGGACCCCAGCGCTTCCCAAGCTGCCTCTGCACAGGCTCACACAGGCTGGTCCCCTGCCCTGCACACAAACATCATCACCTGTGTTTACACCAGAGCTTCCTTTCCCAAACCTCCTTGACTCTGAGACGCCTTAGGAACAAAGAGGTTTCCCAGTTTCCTGCCCGGGCTGGGGCATTCCTCCCTCTGGCTGCAGCACCCCACCCCCAGGCCTTCTCTCCCTGCTCTGCCTCAGCACCTCTCACTCCACACCAGCCACCAAGGCAGTCTGGCAAAAGGCTTGGGGACAAGGAGCTGTGGATCTGTGGATCCTCTCGGCTGGCCTTACCCAACCGGGGGCAGAAGTCCCAGGAGAAAAGAAAGCGAGATGGGTGCTGAGGAGGAAGAGGGGCCCAGTCCCAGTGAGCAGGGAGCAGAGGGGAGGCTGGGCAGATGGAGGGACAGGTGTGAGGGGCAGAGAGACCCTGGTGCCCACATCCCACTAGATCTTCAGAGAAGCCGGCATCCACCTGGACCAGACAGGTAACCCTGCCACCCTCTCAGGCCCGGGGTCTCTGAGTGGATTTGACATCCCCTCTGAAAGCTGGAAAGAGGCGCCACTCTGCAGCAACTTGCATCTCTGTTTACCTGTTAACAGGGGTCAGTCAACTATGGCCTGAAGGCCAAATCCAGCCAGCGGCCTGTTTGTGTACAGCTCACTAGCTGAAAATGGTTTGTATGTTTTGTTTTGTTTTTTGCGGTACGCGGGCCTCTCACTGCTGTGGCCTCTCCCGTTGCGGAGCACAGGCTCCGGACGCGCAGGCTCAGCGACCATGGCTCACGGGCCCAGCCGCTCTGCAGCATGTGGGATCTTCCCGGATCGGGGCACGAACCCGCGTCCCCTGCATCGGCAGGCGGACTCTCAACCACTGCGCCACCAGGGAAGCCCTGGCTTGTATGTTTTTAAACGGATGAAGAAAGAGAGAGAGGGAGGAGGAGGACAGAAGACTCGATGTCACCCACAAAGCCTAAAATAGTTACTTTTTGTAGAAAAGTGTGCGCACCCCTGACCAGGATTGACCCAGCTGTGGCGACCCTTCACCCACGCATCCCTGGCGCGTGACATTGGGTGTGTTATTCAATTTCTGGAAGGCTCAGTTTCCCCATCGGTAAAGCCAAGGCGGGAACAGCACCCGTGTCCCAGGGTTGTGAGAGTGAGGTCAGGTGTAATGGATCCCAAGCCCTCAGCCCAGAGTCCCCTGCGCTCCTGCGCGCGGTGCATTCCGCTAGCCGATGGCGGCCGCGGTGGCGGCGCCAAGTGTGTGACGGGAAGATGAGGAAAAGAGTCCCCTCCCGACCAGCTGACCTTCCCCATGTCACACAGAAGTGGGGAAACTGAATCCCGGGGGTGACTCATCTGAGGTCACTCGGCTATAAACAGGATGTCACCAGGGCCGCTTCCCACAGGCCTGTGAAGGCGCTTGGCGCCTCCCTTCCACCACCACGCCCCGCCGTGCCTCCCCTACCCCTGCTCTCGAAGCCCTGCCCTCCGCACTTCTCCACACTTCTGTCCTGGGTCCCACTCTCACAGGACCGTGCTCTTCTCAAGAAGCTGATTGCCCTCCACTGCTGTGTTAGTTGCCAACAACTAAAGTCATTTCCTATCCTAGGGGTATCTGCATTGAACGCACACCTCCTAGACCCCCAGACCTCCACAGGTATTTCTCTCTGACTGTGTAACGCCAGGCACAGTGACAGACGCTAGGAGCTGCACTGAAAACCACAGATGCCACTTCAAACCAAAGCATCTCGGGAATTCCCTGGCAGCCCAATTGTTAGGGCTCCGCGCTGTCGATTCCGTGGCGCAGGTTCAATCCCTGGTCGCGGAACTAAGATCCTACAAGTCACATGGCGGAGCCAAAAAGAAAAAGAATTGTGACCAAAGTCCCTCAGATCCACTATCCAGATTCTGTGTCACCCGTTTAGCTCACACTCTGGGCAGACAGACAAACGTAAACACAGGATTTGACCACTGAGTCCAGCTCTGCCGTGGTCCAGCTGGCCCCCCAGTCCCCTTTCCTCACCAGTCTCCTGAAGTTGAAGGATGCAGGGTCTCTCTGAGGTCACATAAGAAGGCCCAGGCCACTTCCATCTTTTGAGATTACTGGTACATATATTTTATAAAATGAAGAAATTCCCCAAGCAGGGTTATGGAACTTGTGGTCTATTTTAAACATTTACTTGCAAAGTTTACACTTTCGACCCCCAAGGATAGTGCAATCTAACGGCGCTGATCCGCAGAATAATTTCAGGATTTATAACAAACGTTCACGTATCCTGAACTCTCAGGCAAAGCGGTCTAGTGGGGAGATAGGGGGGAGTTTACAGACGAACAGCAGCGACTTCTTTCAGTTCCGTGGGCGTGTCTCTGTGATGATTGCAGCTCACTTTGTTGGGAGATGAAGTCCACGAAAATGAGACAGGAGTCCAGGGCTGAAGCGCCTCTCGCCCGGCTCTCCAGGGAATTCCTTGACGCCCTCCTACAGCTGAGCCCGGCTGAGCGGCTGCTCTCGCCCGCACCCTGGACCTAGTCTCTCTTCTCTTGCGTCAAGCCTGCCTGGAAGGCCATCCGCTTCTCCTCCTGGCTAGGTGCAAATTCCCTTTCTGTTCCACGAGACCTGCCATCACCCTGCTCTGCCCTCTCTCCCTCTCCCTAGTCCCCGGAGAGTCACCAGCTGCTTCTCCTCCTAGTGCCCAAAGCATAACTCAAGTACTGTAAGTACTGAAAGGAAGAGGAACTTCACAGCTACAAACACCGCCTCGGCCAGGTGATCAAGGTCAACACCAACATCATAGGTCATAGTGACAGAACATACCCTTGACATGTAATGAACATGGGACTTCACCTCTGTGATCTTCCTCCCCAAAACCCATAACCCCAGCCCAATCATGAGAAAAACATCAGACAAATCCCAATTAAGGAACATTCTGCAAAATCCCTCCCAATTGTCAAGGCCATCAAAAACAAGGCAAGTCTGAAACACTGTCACAGCCAAGAGAAGCCCAAGGAGACAGGATGACTAAAGGTAACATGGGATCCAGGATGGGATCCTGTAATGGAAAAGGAATATTAGGGGAATAATAAAGAATTCTGAATAAACTGTGGACCTCACTTAATAATAAGGTATTGATATTGGTTCATTATTAGTGACGTGTGTACCACATTAATGTTAGATGTCAATAATAGGGGAAACTGGGCGTTGGGTGTACAGGAATTCTCTGTACTACGTCTGTGCAGTAATTCTGTGAATCTAAAATTGTTCTAAAATTAAAAGTTTATTATTTAAAAAAATGAATTATGAATGAGTGGCTCTGTTTCATCCTTACCCACCTCTAAAACACAAAGTACTAGGCTTAACTAGAGGGCAGAATGGCGGGCGGATACGAACACAGGCTCCAGCCTCAGACACGTGAGGTCTGAGACCTGGCTCTGTCACTCACTGCTGCTGTGTCCTGGGGGGGTTACTGGACCCCTCTAAGCCTCAGGTTCCTTCATTTTAACGGGAAGGAGTGGTAACTACAGTGACAATTTCGTGGAACTGTTCACAAGATTAGTGTGTAAAGCCCTTAAGTCAGAAAATGTTCACTGTGCTGTTGATCTGTTGTGTGGCCGGGACCCAAGGACATCTGGGCGCATGGCTGCCCGTCATGGGGAGAGCTGAGTGGCCAGAGGCCTCCACCACGAAGAGGGTCACGTCCTCTGGAGGAGGATGGAGTCCAGGGGAAGGGGAGGAAGGCAGGTCTGGGAGGCCTCCCGTAAGTGACCACACTCAAGGGCCTCCTTGCCATGCCGGGAAGTACAGGGTGTTGCGTCCACTACAAAGGCTACAGAGGCATCCTGGTCTCTGTTCATGACCCAGAGCACAATGGCCGGAAGAGCCACTCAGGGCCCAGGCCCAGCAAAACAGACAGCATCTGCGCCTCCCCTCGGAGTCCCCACCTCTCGCAGGACCGCTGGCTGCACCACCACCCAGAGGAAACCGCAGGGAACCTGGGCCTCCAGCGCCCTCACCAGCCAGGCCGCAGCAAGGCCACCTCAGAGCGGCCAGGCCAGCAGGGCCCTGAGCCCACCCCTCAGAATTTATGGAGCACAGCTGTCCGTGGGCAGCCCTAGGGGGCACCTGCTGTCCAGACAGGTGGGCAGAGGCCTGTGCTAGGCCAGCTGGGGCGTGAGTCCTGACGCTGCCACACGGCCTTGAGCAATCTCTAACCCCTCAGTGTCTCAGCTTCCTGCCCCATCCTGGGGAGAACAGGCCTGTCTGCAAAACCTCACACCCTGGGACTTCCCTGGCGGTCCAGTGGTTAAGACTTTGCCTTCCAGTGCAGAGGGTGTGGGCTTGATCCCTGGTCGGGGAGCTAATATCCCATGCCTCACGGCCAAAAAAACCAAAACATAAAACAGAAGCAATATTGTAACAAATTCAATAATGACTTTAAAAACGGTCCACATAAAAAAAAAAAAAAAAAAAACAAAACCCTCACACCCCAGGAATCAAAGAACCCAGGTGGAGGGAGGGGCAGAGGGCCCTCCCGCCCCCCAGCTTTCTCACCCCCCAGGCCGCCCTGTGGCTCCGCGGCTCCACACGGCAAGCAGCAAGGGCGCTGGGGGGCCACGTGTGCTCTTCAACACAGAACCCGCTGATCCCTGCAGGTGAGGCTTGGCCCCATTTGAATGATGTGGAAACTGAGGCCCGGGGGCTGAAGTGACCTCAAGTCACCCATCAGGTCTGACAGAACTGGTCCTGGGGCCAGACTCCTCCTCTGGTGCCTCTTCCTCACCTCAGAGCAGAGGCTTCACTGCTGTCCTCAGCTGAGCCGGCACACCGGGTTCCCGAGTCTTCGCCTGCCTGGGCTTCATGCTTCATCTCTGTGATCACCTGGTCTTCATCTACCGTATGGGGAGTATATGCACGCACAACATCCAGTTCCTTTGAGGGACTGTGGCAGTCTCTGTGGGACGGACAAAACAAACAAAAACACCACCTCAGTTTCTGCCCCCAAGGGCCGTAAACTCTAACAACAATAACTAAAGCTTGAAAACCGCCCTACGGTCTGCCTTTCCTTTTCTCACTTTTCCTTCAGAGCAGGCAGGCGTAGTTAGTGCTGTTTTACAAACGCGGGCTCGAGATGGAAGGGGAAGCCTAAGTGGAGAGCTGTGATGTTCTGACTGAATCCCATGGTACTTTCTACCTGCGGCACCATCTCCAAGAGAACTAGAATGGAAGGCAAAACTTGACGATGACCATTGCTTCGTGTAGGACTCTCTCAGCTGCAAGTGACAAAAAAAAGCGGGGGGGCGACAAAAACAAAATAGGAAACAGGAGCTCACTTAACTGAAAGGTCCAGGGGTCAGGCTGGGCTGCCTGGGACCTCAAAGACCTGAATTCTCTCCATTTCTCAGCAGCTGTCTTCCTCAGGCCACATGTGATGACAAATGGAGACCGTGGTGCCAGGGTTTGTGCATCCAGGTTCAAGCTCATCAGGGAGGAACCCCTACCTCTCCCGCAGAAACCGCAGCTGAAGTCTCACTGGCCCTGGGTGGAGCCCAAATCCCTCCCCAAACTCATCACTGTGGCTTTGGTGATCCATCGTGGCTTTGGCCAGTGAGGCTGAATTACAGAGCTGGATCAACCGCACCCAAAGCAAAAGGGCAGAGAGAGGGTGGGGAGGGAGAGAGTCTTAAAGGAATTTGAGATCCCGGACGATAAATACCCCAACGTCGGTCTCCTCCTGCCCTCCAAACAGATGGTCCAGGAGGCCGGGTGAAGCAGTGTACAAGGTCAGAGCAGGTTAGAGAGGGTTGGCAGAGGGAGGCAAACAGAAAATAACCAGCACACCAGGGTGAGGCCTAGATGCACCCCCGCCCGCCACTCTCGGGAGCAAGCCCAAGTTCTCAGCCTGGAGTAGCAGGTGCTCTGGCCACACTTTCTCCCTCTGACCCCGGTCCCCTCTCTCACCACCCTGACGCCCAAGCCCCTTACCCCAGACCGACAGAGCCCGTCCCCAACTTCCCGCCTTGCCAGCTGCTACTCCCTCGGCTTGTAGTGTACTCTCTCTCTTCCCCACCCCCTCCCTTTCTTTACATGTCGAACTCCTATTCATCCTTCAAGGCCTTTTTCTGATGGCACCTCCTCCATGCAGACTGCACCAAGTCCCACACTCAGAGTATCTCCTCTGTCCCCACAGCATCCCTACATAGAGCCCACCAGAGCAGCTGTGGCCTTGTCCTGGGACCGTTTGCCTGTCTGTCTCCCTGCCCAGCTGTGAGCTCCCTGGGGCTGGGGATTGAGTCTACTCAGCTCTCTGTCCTTGGCTCAATTGCACTGTCAGGCACATAGTCGGCCCATAAATATTCACTGAATATATGAATAAAAGATGAGGAGAAGACTTCCGTGTCCTTCTCATCCCCCCTGCCTTTTTCTGGTCCCACAACAGAGAAGCACGCAGGCAGGAGTAAAGAGAAAGAGAGGCATGTACCCCAGTAGCCCCCGCACTTTCCTCTCCCAATTCAGTTTCAGGCTCTGCCTTACATAATATGGGAAGCCTTTCTCCTTGGCCTTTCTATTGCTGGAAAGTGCTATAGGTGTGAGTTGTGTGGACCTGAGGAAAAAGTGTTATCCACCAGGCCCTCTACCCTGTCCCCAGAGCCCCAGGGCTACCTGGGCTGCCTCAGCAGGACTTTCTCCAGAACACAGCCCCACACGGGAGAGGTCTGGACCAGCTGGCGTGATCACGAGGGGTACCCTGCTGCCCCTGCTTATTAAGCACCTACATTTGTCAAAGCCTCTCTGACCAGCCCAAGGGGACAAAATTCCTTCCTTCCTCCTTCATTCACATAGTCGTTCATTTACAAACAGGGTGTCACACACTGAGGACACAGCAGCAAATGAACACAAAGGACCTGCAGTCTAGAGGGGCGACAGATACTGAACCGGAAACAATCTGTGTGATGAGACCCACAAGAAGGGGAGAAGGGGAGGGGGAAACAAGACAACAGCTGAAGAAAGCCAGAAGCAGAAGGGTCCGCACAGGCAGCTCGCCCTCCCCTTCTAGCCTGAACTCCAGAAATCAAGGGACCAGGAGACGAGCATCAGCGGGCAGGAGGGGCTTTGCATCGTTTCCTCGGGGGCATCACAGAGGACCACAGGCTGGGGGCCGAAACGCCGGGGATGCGTCCTCTCACTTTCTGGGGCCCAGCAGCCTGCGATGGAGATGCGGGCGGGGTGCTTCCTTCTGATGGGCAGAGGGGGAGGGCAGTTGAGCAGGTTCTTGTTTTGTTGACCCTTAGCCCTGCTGCACTCCTGAGAGGGCCACTTCCCTAGCACATTTCCAGGCCTGGCTGACTCACTGGACAGGAAGGGAAGGGCTGCAAGGGCTGGCTGCCGACCAGGGACCCCTCGTCTCTGGCCACGCCTGACACAGCCTTCTGGGGAGCCCACACACACCAGCCCTCCCCTCTCTGTGTGTCCTGCCTTTGCTAGCAGGTGGTCACTCAGCCCTCTTGGGTAGGGGGATGCTACACGGGCCCAGCTCTCCCTCCCTGGACGGTCCCTTATCCAGGGGCCCAGCTGTCCTGAGAGGCTTCCACTATAAGTCACTCATCCATCCACACATACTGAGCCCTTGCTTCCCTTTCAACAAATAAGTATCAGCACCCACCGTGGACGCCATCTAGGCCCTGGAGATACAGCGGCAAACGTAAGGACTCGCCACGGCCCCCGTGAAGTTCACATTCAAGTGGATGGAGGCAAAGACCAGAAACATCAACATATACCATGTCAGCTGGTGATAAAGTCAACAGAGGGAGCAAAACAGGGGAGATGACAGGGATGCACGGAGTGGGCAGGGCTGTGCCACGCCTCCAGCCAACGAGCCATCTCCGGTACGGGTCGGGTCCTTTGGAGCGAGCCCCAGAGAGGGAAGGAGTGGGGGAGACGGATCAGCTGAAGGAGCAGCGGGAGGCCAGGTCGGAGGGGCAGCGTGCCCACCAGCTTCAAGCAACACCCTAGGGACTTCCCTGGTGGCACGGTGGTTAAGAATCACCTGTCACTCTTTTAAAGTGTGCGTGGATATGTACTACAGGGGGGAAAGGTGGGGAAATGTACAGTCACACACAGGGGGAAGAAGAAGAGAATATGCATGTCCCCTTGCTGGCTACATACTGCAGGAATACGTGCCTCTCAGTCTTTGTTGGTTCTGAAGCTTCCTGAAGTGTGCTGACATTTGGGCTGCACAGAGACCCTCACCTTCTCTTTCACCTCCTCTTCTAGAATTGCTTTGCTCTATTTTTGTATCTATAAATATGTCATGATGATCATTAATAATGTTAATGATATCGCTGCAAATGATGCCATACACAAGGTTTGGCTTCTTGGAACATTTATAAACCCAAACCAGTACCTGTCACCTCTCATGTTGCTTTCAAGTCCTTCCATTTAAGTAACTTCTTTTTACCTTACAAGTCTGCCTGATTGACCTTTGAACTTATCCACCCCTAAAAGCTGTGCCCGGTTCTCTGGGTCAAGCTGGATGGTGACGAGTGGCAGCAACACACACTTCTCTTCGCTTCCTCCTGAAATTTGCTTAAAGCTGAGATCAGTAAGGATTCTGACACTAGTGCATTGCTCCTGGAGCTAAAGTCATTCTACGGAAGTTTGCTTATTAGTTTCAGGACCCAAAACAACACAAGTCCCTCCTCCTTGATAGCTCCTTCACATCTCAATCCTGCAGTCCTTACTCAGGCAAACTGTGCACTGCCAGAGGGGCCCTGGGCTCTGCCACACACCCAAAGGAGGTCTTCTCAGTGTATTTCTAAATGGCCTTACACTTGGTAGAAGAAACTGAACGGTTGCTCCAATGCAGTTGCAGTCTGCAATCTGCTAAGTCAGGGCTCTCATTTGTGTCCGAGTTGGCCTGATATGGACTGCATCTGGTTTACGTATAGATGGGTCCTGTTGGGGTATGTGCACAGACATGAGAGCGTGCGTATGTATGCCCTCTGTGAGATAGATATACATATATGTATTTATTTATTTACATATATATGTAAATATATATTCACACATCTCTATATATTTTAATGTATTGCACATGTATATTTAAAATATATATAAAAGAACTCTAAAAAAAAAGAACCCATCTGCCAATGCAGGCCACATGGGTTCGAGCCCTGGTTCAGGAAGATCCCACATGCCACGGAGCAACTGAGCCCATGGGCCACAACTACTGAGCCTGCGCTCTAGAGCCCGCAAGCCACAATTAATAAAGCCCGCGTGCTGCAACTACTGAAGCCGCGCACCGCAACTACTGAAGCCTGCGCGCCTACAGCCTGTGCTCCGCAATAAGAGAAGCCACCGCAATGAGAAGCCCATGCACTGCAACGAAGAGTAGCCCCCGCTCACTGCAACCAGAGAAGGCCCGCGCGCAGCAACGAAGACCCAATGCAGCCAAAAATAAATAAATATATATATTTTTTAAAAAAGAAACAACCTAGTGTCCAGGGTGTGTGTGTTGGGGGAGGGTGAGTGGGGACCAGATGCACCGTTAAGGTATGGGCATCATATCACAGGCCCTGAGGAATTGGGGTTTAACCCTGAGGAACTGGAGATTTTAAAAGTTGAGAACAAAATGTCCCATGTCCGCAAGGAGCTTCCCGTCTAGAATCAGAAGTGGAACAATCCCCAGCAGGGGCTACGCTGACAGTGGGCTTCCAGCTAAAGGCTCTTGGAACGCAGGAGTGTTCTCTGCCGGCCCTGGGGAGACGCCGCCTGCCTCAGCTTAGAAGCCTGCCGCTCTGCGTCAGGGCCGGCTTTTGACTCTTTGTCCCCAGAGCGGGTGCTTGTTTGTTTGTTCGTCATAAATTTAAATTGAGGGGGAAAGTGTCGTAATACCTCGGTTAACCACTTTGCCTCGGAGAACTGAGCTGATCCAGCCACGGCCAGCCCCGTGCCATGGAAAGCAGGACACAGCGCGTGCACGCGTGCGTGGGGCGGGTGTGCATCGACACGCCACTGCCTTCCTTTGTCCCTTCCAGCTTCGGGGTTTTCCTGGGACTGTTCCTCTCTTCTGGAGGGAGGGGTGGGGGCGGGTAGCGGAGATGGGGAAGGAGTTGGGAGGCACGCTGGAGAGTGTCTGTGGCAGAAACAGACTGCGTACAAGCAACCGGGGCCACCAGAGAGAGAAATAGGAGCGCAGCCCATGTAAATGCACTGACCGAGAGCATTCCTGTGGTTCTAAGCAGATCTGGACAAGTTCACGCAGGGAGGGGTACCGTGTGATGGACCAGGGCCAGAACTAAAAATAAGCCGTGTTTCTATGCCGAGCGGGAGCGCTAGCATCTGTGGGACTGTGGCAGAGGAGAGGGGAGTTTCCGCGCCCCCAGGCACAGTGAGGCCAGAGAAGAGGCGAGGGAGAGGTTGGCCGGGCCTCCGTCTCAGCAGTGAGATAGGATGATGCTCCCCCCAAACAGGAGACCTCTCTCCTCTTCCCAGCTGGGAAGCCGAAGCCCAGAGAAGGCAGAAGTCGGGCAGGGAAGGACTGAGGCAGAGGCTGTCCCGCAGCAGAAGAAAGACTCCAGGCGTTACTGCTGGCCAACCCTGGAGGCTGGCCCATCCCTGCCAGAGTAGCAGAGAGGGGTGGGGCCGCCTCCAAACCTCCTCCCCAGGGAGCAGTTAAGGAGCCCAGGAGTGGCCTGGAGTGGAGGGAAGGGACACAGCACTTACTGGGTGTTCACTAGACGGGGGTGTTTTCCACAGGGTCCCACAACGATCCTGAAAGGTGGGTATTTCGCTCCGTTTTGACAGATTATGAAAACAGGATTCTGGACTTCTCTGGTGGTCCAGGGGTTAAGACTCCGTGCTGCCACTGCAGGGAGGGAGGGAAGGAAGGAAGGGAGGAAGGAAGGAAGGAAGGAAGGCAGGAAGGAAGGAAGGAAGGAAGGAAGGATGGGAGGGAGGGAGGGAGGGAGAGGAAGAAAGGAAGGAAGGAAGGAAGAAAAAAGGAAAGGAAGGAAGGAAGGAAGGATGGGAGGGAGGGAGGGAGAGAGAGGAAGAAAGGAAGGAAGGAAGGAAGAAAGGAAGGAAGGAAGGAAGGATGGAGGGAGGGAGGGAGGGAGGGAGGAAGGAAGAAAAAAGGAAAGGAAGGAAGGATGGGAGGGAGGGAGAGAGAGAGGAAGAAAGGAAGGAAGGAAGGAAGGAAGGAAGGAAGGGAGGAAGGAAGGGAGGAAGGAAGGGAGGAAGGAAAAAAACAGGGTTCACAAAAGACTCACATAATCCCAAGGCCACCCAGCATGTCAGTGGCAGAGCTGAGACTGGACCCCAAGGCTCTGCCCCCCAAGCCTGCACTCCTGCCACCCGTCACTCATCTAAAAGGCAGAAAGGGAAGCAGACCCTTTCCAGGTGGCCCCAGAGGGCAGAACAGGGACAGGGGTCACAGGCGGGGAGGAAACCTTTGTAATAACCAGAACTACCCACAGTAAGTGGCCGGCCTCAGGAAGCGGCAAGCTCGTGCAAAAGCTGGCTGCTGGGGACCGTGAGAGGGATCCAGGAGGTTCCCATCACTCTCAGGGTCTGTGCCATGTGGAAGCAGCACGGGAGCCTGGCCTGCCTGGGTCTGACATTGCCCTTGACCTGTCCTTGGTGTGGGAAGGAGGGAACCTTGAGTCTGGGAAGAAGGGAACCATCTCTGGAAGCTGCCTGCTAATGGATCAATCATTCGAGCAGTTTGCAACCCTGATATCCAGCACCAAGCGGTTGGAACAGAGCCCGGTCCTCAGGCTGCTGAGTACCTTCTAGGGAAATAGGGCTCCCACACAGAGGGAAGCAAGCACGCCAGACCCAGGCAAGAGAGGGTGTTTGCTGCAGAAACAAGGGCTAACTTACGGGCCGCCTCCCAGGTTTATAAGGAGTCAAAAGACAGGACAATGGGGCCTGGAGAACCCAGGGAAAGTGCCTTGCGCTAATAATTATAGTGTTAATAGTGTTATTCACAGCTTTTTTTTTTTTTTGAGCATTTACTATGTGCCAGACACTGTGCTGAATGTTTCGGATGCATTGTAGGATTTAACCCTCAGAGCACCCCGTGAGACAGGTGCTTTTATCGCCTTTTTACAGACAGGAGACAGGCCCAGAGAAGGGATGTAACTCGCCCAAAATTGCACAGCGAACGTGGCAGAGCTGGGACTCAAGCCCGGATCTGTCAGACTCCAGGCTGGTGCTTCTGCCATCTCTGCCCTGACACAGAAATAGCTCCAAGACAGAACGTAATTGTTTCCTATTGCTGCTTAACAAATTAGCACAAACCTAAACACACGTTTATATAACATTTGTGTAGGGCAGGAGTGCGAGCTAAGATCAAGGTGTCAGCAGGACTGCCTTCCCTTCTGGAGGCTCCAGCGGAGAATTCAGTTCTCTGCCTTTTCCAGCTTCAGGAGGCCATACTCAACCCCCAGTACGTGGCCCCTTCCTTCGGCTTCAAAGCCGGCTTTGCCATGTCTCTCTGACCTTTACTCACACTTCCCCTGACCACAGCCAGCAAAGACTGATTTTAAAGATCCCCGTGACTAGACTGGGTCCCCCTGGGTAATTCAGGGTCACCTCCCCATCTCGAAGCCCCTTTTACCATGTAAAGCAACACATTCACAGGCTCCAGGGATTAGGGTGGGGGCGTTTCAGGGGCCATTATTCTGCCTAGCACTTATAATAAAGTGGGGAAAAAGCAAATGCACCAGTAGCAAGGTACTTAAAAGGGGAGGGAGGGAGGAGTGAGTAATTATATGTATTAGTATTTGCATAAAGGATACATAAAACCAGCATTGGTTACTGGAGGAGAACCAGGCTGATGGGGGACAAGGCTGGATGGGGATATTTTGTGTTATCACAGAAGTGTTCAAACACACACAAAACTAGAGAGAATAGTCTAGTGAATCCTTCTACCCGTCACCCAGCATCAACAGTTACGACCGTTTTGCCTTCTAGTTTCATTTATCTCCCCACCTTTTGGGAAAGGACTGAAAATGTAGAGCAAATCCCACACATCGTATCACTCTAGCTTTAAAAGCTTCAGTATGTAGCTCTAAGAGACAGGGGGTTTTCAGAAGTATACCACAACTCCATCATCACACCTAATAAACTTAAAAATAGTTTCTTACTATCATCTAATACTTAGTTTATATTTGAATTTCCCTAACTGCCTACAAACTTTTTTTTTTTTTTAATAATTGGTTCATTTGGATCAGGACCCAGACAAGGCCCTCATGCTGTACTGGGTTGAGGTGAGTCCTAAATTTCTCTCAACCTATAACAATTTCCAGGAGATACACTCTTCCCTCTCTACACTTTTATATCTTTATTTCTCAATCATGTAAATGAATGATCTATACAGAAGTTAAATTCGGGAGACAATACAAATCTAATGCTGCGTGGAGAGTTAAAGGATGGGGGTGAAGAAGACCATCCCAAGCAGGGGACTCAGGAGCAGAGAGGAGGGGGGCGGGGGGGGGGCCCGCCGAAGCCCCCGGAGGTGGGTGGAGTCAGGGACCCCAGGGGTCCAACATTCTGGGGGGTTTCCTGGTCTGCTTGGCAGAGGTAGGTGGAAGGGTTGCAGGGACACCAGTGACAGCCTAGGCTGCAGCATCCTGAGGAAAGTCCCCAAAGGGGACTTTATAAATAAATCAATAAAAGGATGATGCAACCTTATCTAAATGTGAAGCCTGCCGAGAAACCACAGGAAACCCACCACCCACCAAACCGAGCCTAGTGTTACACCAAAGCACCCCCAGACCGGACAGCGGAAGAACATAGAGGCGGATAATCACGAAGGACAGAGGAGCCGCTGAAACTCCCAGATGTGAGAGACCTGAGCTCTGTGCCAGCTCTGCCTTCAGCGGTCTGCAGGATCCTGTGAAGGTCACCTGCAGACGCAGCACCTTGAGTAACCATGGCTGGGGGAGCAGGGAGTAAGCAATAGCATGCACCAGCATGTGCTTGGATTTGCATAAAGAAGGTTACATAAAAACCAAATGAGAGTGGGACTTCCCTGGTGGCGCAGTGGTTAAGAATCCGCCTGCCAAGGCAGGGGACACAGGTTCGAGCCCTCGTCCAGGAAGATCCCACATGCCGCGGAGCAACTAAGCCCGTGCGTCACAACTACTGAGCCTGTGCTCTAGAGCCCACGAGCCCCAACTACTGAGCCCACGCGCCACAATTATGGAAGCCCGTGTGCCTAGAGCCTGCGCTCCGCAACAAGAGAAGCCACCGCAATGAGAAGCCCATGCACTGCAACGAAGAGTAGCCCCACTCGCGGCAACTAGAGAAAGCCTGCGCGCAGCAATGAAGGCCCAACACAGCCAAAAATAAATAAATAAATTTATCAAAAAAAAAAAAAATGAGAGTCAAAGAGATCCTGAGTACGGAAGGAGCAGTGGAAATTCTCCCCACTTAATATTGCTAACAGCCAGATCCCAAAGCCCCACTCCCCATATTATCCCTGACTGAAAGAGGGGTTGCTGCAGGATGAATAGGAGTTTGCTGGGAATAGGAAATTCACTGTAGACAAAGAGAATGAGAGAGTCAAAGGAAGAGAGGCGGGAATGAGCCCAGGGCGTTCAGAGAATTAAAATGAATTCAAAGTGCTAAATCAATGTGGGATCTTGGATTGGACTCTGGGACAGGAAGAGGACATTAGTGGAAAAACAGGTGAAATCTGAATAACATCTGCAGCTTAGTTAATAGTACTGTACTTAGTTTTGACAAATCACTTTTTTTTCAGATGTTGACATTGGGGGGAAGCTGTACTATCTTTGCAACTTTTCTGTAAACCTGAAATTATTCCAAAATAAAAGAGTTAGTAAGAAAGAGAGAGAAGGAAAAAAGACAAAAAGAGAAGTACAAAATGGCTAAAGCATATAAGTTGCCAGAAGGGGGGAAAGGGTGATGGGCATCAGCAGAAGCCGGCTTACCGGGGCCTCCTGTGCCCCACCATGGGGTCCAGACTCCATCTCTCTACAGGCAGTACTCCACGGCGATGTCCCCTCTTTCTGAACCCTTCCCACAGGCCCCAGGGGGACGCCAGCCACAGTTTCTTACCTTCATGTTCATCTTAACTATATTTCACCTGCCCATATGTGCCTGAACACACACACACAAAGATCCCAGGTCTGCTACACACACACACACACACACACACACACACACACACACACACACACACACAGCTCATCTAGGAGGAGCCCTGTGTCCAGCCTCTAATCCCCCCCCCCCGCCCCCGGGAATCTAGAACCATCACCCGGAACAGAGGTCAGCAGTCATCCCCATTCCCCGTGGTGGAGGAAAAGCAGTCACTCTCCCGGCTCCGCAGCTGTAAAAAGGGAGCCTCAGAAGGACAGGCTCCAGCAAAGGCAGGACCAAGATGCAAACTCTCCACCTGTCTTCGGCCCCTAACACTCAGACGCTCAGCTTGCGGGGGGCACCTTCAAGATGGCACAACCCCTCGGGTGTCACCTGCAGTCCCTTCACCCACCTCCACAACCAAAGGACAAGAAAGACAGAGCACCCATGTTGACACAGCCATTTACGCCGTGCAGAGGTAGTTCAGCACCCGGGTCCTGGAGCCAGATCCCCTGGGCTCAAATCCCGGCTCCGCTGCTTCCCAGCAAGTGAATTCATGCGGCCTCCATTTCCCCATGTGTGAAATGGACATAGTAAGACTCTCAACCTCAGAGGGCCGTTTGAGGATTAAACGGGTTTACACATAGCAGTTGTGCCCATCCAAGTGTTCGTTCTTTGGGCTCCTACTGTGGGTACTACAGGAGCTGATCATCTATTGGGGGACATTTTTTTAAAAAGATGCATGAAACATGAAATTAC